TACCTTCAAAAATAACCATTGTTTTCAGAAGACAAACTTTCATTTAACCTCGTTCAAATAGATTTCTGTCAAACTCATGGCATTGCAGAGTTCTAGAATGTTCTATTTTGCTCAGTTTCATCTTGTTGAACCAAATCAGATTGATTTCTTATGAGAAAAAAGCCACCTAACTTCATTTTTTAATTACGTAAACTGCTTAGCTTGTAATTAATAAAATTTTTTATGTGACTGAAAAACATTGTGGAGTGCATTTTGCAAGACAAATGACCAAAAACAGTTAAAATTAAATCATGCACCAATTTTACAAATTATAAAACAAGATAAATTAATATTTGATTTTCTTTACCTAATTTGCAATGATGTAATATAATCAGTGAAAACATGAGTTAGCCATAAAGCAACAACTTTTAAAAAGTACAGTATTGGGCCCGGCATGGTGACTTAGCAGCTAAAGTCCTCACCTTGAACGTGCTGGGATCCCATATGGGCTCCGGTTCCAATTCTGGCAGCTCCACTTCCCATCCAACTCCCTGCTTTTGGCCTAGGAAAGTAGTCGAGGATGGCCCGGAGCTTTGGGACCCTGCACCCATGTGGGAGTCCTGGAGGAGGTTCCTGGCTCCTGGCTTCAGATTAGCTCAGCTCTGGCAATTGTGGCCGCTTGGGGAGTGAACTATCGCATAGAAGATCTTCCTCTCTGTCTCTCCTCTCTGTATATCTGACTTTGCAATAAAAAATAAATACATCTTTAAAAAATGTGCAGTATTCTTGGACAAATATATGTATATATGCATTTTTGAATTCTACTTTTTGGTCTTTATGTGTAATTTGGAATCAAGAGTAAGAAAAAATCAGTTACATTAATTTTGTAAGACCAAAGGCTTAAATGCTGTACATGTATTTTGTGGAAGAACAGAACTACATAGGCTAGTTTAACTTTTCTGACACATAAATTTCCAAAATAGGAGATAGAAAATAAAACATAATGAAAGATAAAATGAGGGGGCTGGCATTGTGGCACACCTAAGCCGCTACCTACATCTCATATAGGCACCAGTTCTAGTCCCAGCTGCTCCACTCTTGATCCAGCTCCCTAATAATGGTCTAGAGAGGCAGCGAAGTACAGCCCAAGTACTTGGGCCCCTGCTCTCACGTGGGAGAGCTGGAAGAAGCTCCTGGCTGTGGCCTCACTCTTACTTACCTGGGTTATTGCAGCTCCTGGAGAGTGAACCACCGGATGGAAGATTCTCTCTCTCTCCCTCCCTCCCTCCCCACCCCATTCTCTATGTAATTCTGACTTTCTAACAAACAAATAAATCTTACGGTCAGTATGATGGCTCCTAGAAACAATGACATCCCATATAGACATTGGTTCATGTCCTGGCTGCTCCACTTCTGATCCAGCTCCCTGCTTGTGGCCTGGAAAAGCCATGGAAGATTGACCAAGTTGTTGGGCCCCAATACCCACAAGGGAGACCTGGAGGAGGTTCCTGGCTCTTGGCTTTGGAATGAATGGCCCAGCTCTGGCTGTTGTGCCATTTGGGGAGTGAACCTGCAGGAAGAAGTCCTGTGTCCTACCAGGCTGTGATGTGAGCGTGCGCCTCATAGCGGGGCATCCCCATGGAGTAGAGGTAAGGGATCCTGATACTGGAAACAGCTTTTTCAAAATGCATGTCAACACCAGCATTTCCCCCACTCTCTTCTCACCCTGGGACCAAACTCAGGTGAGCAGAGCGGAAGCAATGATGATTGTTAACCCTCTTTTCTGCATCACCACCACATCCCCTAGGGCTGCCCAAAGTTGCAAGGTGCTTCAGAACAAACCCAGAGATGAGCCATAATTCAATGAGGCAAATCCCGTGGGTTAAACCCTAACTTGATTTCCTTGCAATTCAGGATGTAGTTCTTTTTTTTTTTAAAGTTATTTATTTATGATTTTAAAGGTAGGGTTACAGAGAGAGTAGAGAGACACATATAGGAGCATATTCCACCTGCTGTTGGTTACTGTCCGTGTGTGTCCTGTGAGTAGGAGGAAAGAAGGGCCTAGGTGGATGCTTGGGGTACCCATCCATGGGCGTGTGACAGGTGCATGCACTTTGAAAACATACCAGCAGAGGGCGCCTCGGAACCACGTATAGCACAATCGCAGCGGCCAGCCCTGGGCCCGGGGCGCTCTCACTGGCTCCTCCCGGGCTGGCCACTCTTTCTCTCCCTTGCATCCTTTGGCGGAGAAACCTGGTTTGGGGATTCTTTCCTGTTCAAACTCTGGCCCACAGGCCCGGCTTCTGGGATGTCCTGGCTTCCACCTGTTCCATCTCTCTGTTCACTTCCACCTGGCTGGGAGATCCCACCTCCTTCAGTCCCCTGCCCCACGCCCAGAGACTGGTCCTGCCTGCAGACTCTGGAAGCTGGAGCCAGACCCTGCCCTGCTCTCTGCACCTTGCTCCTCCCCTCGCTGTTCTGTCTCCTTCTTCACTTCTGTCCTGGGCTATTGGGTCCCAAGATAAATTACAACTAGATGCATTTCCAAGTGCCTAGATGCTGCTGCTGGTGGTTTTAGAACATTCTTAAACCACCTGTTGGTGGTTGGGTGGGTAACACAGTGTGTCAGCTCCAGTGAGGGTGGGACTGTGTGGGCACTCTTCACAAGGTCTCTATGTTTTTAATGTTTAACATGGAGATAATTTTAGACCTACATAAAGTTGTAAAAATAGAATGGAGAGTTCCATTTCCGCTTTATCCAACTTTGCCGCATGCTAACTTCTTACATAACCATGGAACGCTTATCAACACTCACTTTAACCTTGTCACAATTCTGTTAGCTACCTTATAAAACTTATTGGATCTCATTCCAGTTTTCACATTTCCCTTGTTTGTGCTCCCAGATCCCAACCCAACATCCCATGTAGCATTAAGTTGTTGTGCCTTCTTGAGGTTCGCCAACCCATAACAGTAGACTCTCAGCTGGGTTGGTGTAACGCTTTCTTATAATTAGACTGAAACAATGTTATTGTAAGGGATGTCGATACATGGTGTGTCTGTCAATGGCTCATATCAGGAGGCAACAGATGTTTTAGCCAGTACCAAGGGTGATGCTAGCTTGGGTCACTTGGTTGATATCTTTTCTGTCATGATTTTCCTCTGGAAAGGCAGAATGACAGAGAAAAAAAGAGATCTCCCATCCACCATTTCACTCCCTAAATAGTCTCATTGTGGCCTGGCCAGGTGAGGCCAGGCCAAAGCTAGCAGCCAGGAACTCCATCTGGGCCTTCCCATGGGGAGGAGGGATCCAAGTATTGGGGGCATCTTTTCCTGCTTTCCCAAGAGCTTCAGCATGGAGCTGGATGGGAAGTTGGGCAGCCAGGATTGAACTAGCACTCCGATATAGGACACCAGCATTGGAAGTAGCGCCTGAGCCACCGTGCCACAATGGTGGGCCCTTTGCTTAAACTTTTATGTCACTAATTTTAGCATACATGAGCGAATCTTACCTGGAGTAATTCTTGTTTCAGTGTTGCATGCGTGTACACACACACACATACACACACGTGTTTATGCTAAGAATATCGTATTCAAACTGCAGAAAACAAAAGACAATGAGAAAGTCTTGAAGATAACTAGAGCAGAGAGGGAAAAAATAAACAAAAATCACAGCAGAAGCATCCGAATTGTGGTGTGGCATCTTTGAAGTGCTGCATTTTCTCTGTAAAAATCCTATCAATCCTGTATCCATCCAAGGTATCTTTGACACATGGAGTAGCAGGTGTTCTCAGACGAAACCAAGAGAAGATGTTTCCAGGAAACATGAATGGCAAGAAATGTGGAGGAAATCTCTCCAACATGTTCAAAACAATGGAAAGAAAGGAAAAACCTTTCCACACAGACGAATTTCAGTTAATAATGACCAAGAAGGGGCTGGAGCTGTGGTGTGGCAGGATAAGCCTCAACTGCAGTGCTTTTATCCCATCTGGGTTTTCTGGTTTGCATACTGACTGTTCCATTTCCCATCCAGTTCCCTGCTTGTGGCCTGGGAAAGCAGTGAAGAATGGCCAAAGCCTTGGGACCCTGCACCCATGCGGGAGACCCTGAAGGAGCTCCTGGCTCATGTCTTCAGATCGGCGCAGCTTCCACTATTGCGACCTTTTGGAGAGTGAACTCGTAGAGGTTAGATCTCGCTGTAAACTTGCCTTTCAAATCAATCAATCAGGAAAAGGGAGAAATACCATTTGAACACTATAGTCAATATCAATTGACTTACCCTTGAGCTGTCAGCCTGAATCCCAGTTAATTCCCATGTAAATCAGAATCACTCTGTCTCCCTTTACTTTGGAAACGATAAAAAGGCAGTTTGGAGACAAGTGTCCCGTCTGCTTCATACTGTGGTTATGAAGATCAAACTATTACATTTATGAATGTGTGAGCCTTAAAAAAAATCAGACCATGCTGGCAAGATTCAAGCTACTGGTGTAACCTTTCCGGGATATTGTACTATGCCCAACGGCTCAATCGCCTCAGCTGACGCTGATATGCAAAGATCTGCAGGAACAGTGATAAAGGCATTAGGGTTGCTCTGGGATAAAACCTTCACCAACAGTGATGCCATTTAATAAGTAAGAGCCGTCATGGAATGAGTTGGGGAGCAGGTGCAAGAACAAATGTCGCCAAGTTGCACCTAGGTCTTCCTCTCTCATCCCGCCCAGGCTGTGGGCCAGCAGCACGTACTGCCTGGCTGGTCTCTAGCGCCCCTGCAGCCTCCTCTGGGCCTCACCTCCTCTGATCTTTCCATACCTCCGTGAGGGGGCCCAACTCTGGTATTTCCACATCAGGGAGGCAGTGGACTGGGCACAGAAAAATGGACAGACTTGTCCAGACTCTCCAGCCCTGGAACTCTCTGGATGGGGATTCAGACCAAGGTTTTGGTGGTGAAAACTGTCATCCATCATTGGTCTGACCACAGAGATTGTGCTGTGGCTTTTTAAACTTTTCTTCTGCTGCCTGCTCAGCGTGGCAGGGTCACCAGGCTTAGGATTGGAGCTCCAGGTGCCTTAGCAGGGCTGTCTCTTGGGATCCTCTCCAAAAGGGCTGGACACATCACTTGATCTTTAAAACCAGCTCCCCAGTGCACACCACGTACTGCTGTCATGCCCTCTGGATGCCCTCTATTGCGTATACAAGGGAGGTCAACAGCCTTAGCTTCCAGCTCAGATGGCTTGACTGCCCTACACATCAATAGAACTGGCCCCGTCACAGTCCTGGGATGCAACTGAGCTACAGAACTGAGCTGGATCAGCCAAGACAAGCCCAAGGCCATGACCTGGCCTAGAGTGCTTCTCCTGCCAGGCTTCCAAGTGACGCTCACACCCCGAAGGTCTGCTTCCTGTTTCCTTTTACTCCGAGCGCAGCCAACGTCAGTTTAATAAGGGGCTTTCCCTCCATTGTCTACAATGAGTACTTGTCGAATCTTAGTTAATAAAAACAATGATTTATTAAATTTCCAGTACTGATAAATAGTCACTACCATTGCAACCGCCTCAAGCCCTGGTACAAATGAGTTGCTGAGAGCAAACTGCAAGCTGTGCCCATCAGCTACGAAGTGCCCCCACTCCTTCTCCTGGACCTGCTCCACTACCTCGCAACATCTGAAAGATCTGAAGCTGGATTTAGTTTTCTTTCCACATTGAGGTCTCATAGCTGCCTTCGCCTAGGTCTTAACAAAGGGAAAAGGGTGAGACACAACAGGAGCAAGCATCTATAACAGGTTTTCCTCCATTAGCAGGACCACTGACAAAGCTGTCCAGCGCCAAGAACGTTCCCATGCCCCCAACTTTGGGAGGGTGGGGCGAGACAGGGAATTCAGGTATTTAGAGTTCCAGTGGAAAATGAGAATCTTTAGGCTTTCAATTCCAGATGGAGAACAGAGAAATCAAACAACTGCTACCTCCCGCCAGCAGCTGAGCCTCCAGAGGAAGCAAGAAAAGAAACAATGCCACATCTTACGTGGCTTTTGTGACCATCTTGAAAAGACTGAATTTAGACCTAAAGAATAAAGATAAGGAGAAGGCATTGAGGCATCAGGTTCCCATGGCCCTGGCAGGTGGCTTCTGCTGCCTGGGCCAAGGTCAGATTTGTACAGCGAGGCTGGAGGAGGCTGAGGAACCACTCCCTGATGAACAGAGCTGATGCGCATGAATGAGTCTGTTCCTTCCCTTTCATTTCTCCCCTGGGCCTCCACAGTCAGTGACCTTGTTGTATTTCTACCTGTCCCCACTTGTCTCTGCCAACCTGTTGTTCATGATTGCTAGGGCTCCCACCCCCGCTGAGAATTCACTTTCCCTGGGCTGCATGCTGGCCTGGTGTGGATAGCCGTTGGCTGCTTCAGACAACTGGTTCTGGAGTGCAGCCATTGACACCTTGTTGGCCGCCAAGAAGTCCTTCATTGAGATTATCTCCCCTGAGAGTCGCCGCCCATCTGTGTCACTCTCCATCACCCCGTCGGTGTCAATGGAGATGTTGCAGCGGTTCTGCATGTTGCCTGGCATCACCACGTTCCTCCGTGACCGTAAGAGTCTCCTTTGGCACTGTTGGAAGCACCTGCCATCCAGTTTCCGCAGGATCCAGTTCACAGACTGTTTGATGAGGATGGAGATGACATTGAATAAGGAGTAGATGCAGCAGACGCCCAACAGGATGAAGACAAAGTTGGCGAAGCGGTAGAGTCCTTGGCTATCATATTGGGCATTCTGGCTGCTCACCAGATCCCCAAAGCCGATGGTGCTGAAAGCTACAAAGCAGAAGTAGAGCGAGTCCAAGTAGCTCCAGCCCTCCATGGGGGTGTACAGAGCCGAGGCACAGCAGGAAAGGAGTACAGAGGCTGTGCACAGGATCAGCATGACATAGTACACGGAGGGCTTCCAGCCAGCCATGCTGTCCACCTTACATTTGCCTGGGTCCTTTAGGCTGTCCTGGGGCAGGGTCCCTCGCCTCCGCAGCTGCCGCTGGTAGCACGACTTCATGATGTAGGCAATGACAGTGATTAGGCGTTCCAGGAACAGGTTGAAGAACAAGATGGTGCTGGCACATCCAAAGAGGCCATAAAAAATCAGAAAGATTTTCCCTCCTACTGTTGCTGGTGTTGTCATCCCAAACCCTGCGGGGGACAAAAATTGGAGGAGGAGAGTGAGAGAAGTCTTTAATGCAAATGGAGGTCCCAGTCTTGGCTTTGGTGGTTGGCAATAAGCCTAAAGAATCAATTCCATAATATTATTCAGTCCTAGTGAGAGAGTTCTCTCCTGAGCACACTCAGTATTGCAGGGAGCAGAGCTGCTGACAGCTCGCTTGGTGCTACTGAAAAAAGTAGAAAGTGGTACCTCGTCCTGGGGTGGATTCAGCTGTAAACTGCGGCTTGGTTGATGAAATTGTGGACCAAATCTCAGCCTGCCCTCTCCTAGATATTCAACACAGTGCACAACTGGAGCAGTCAGGCTTGTTCAGAGAGATAAACAAAGGTTTGTGCACAGGGAAGGATAAGATGTGTTTATCAGAATTCACTTCTTCTACAATCCTTGTGTTGGTGAGAGAACTGTTGAAAAGTCAGATCTGGTCCCTGCCATCCTGAAGTTCAGTGAGATGATTATACTTGGTATAAGGGTTGTGCAGGAGGAAGTATGGGGTTCTACAGGGAGTGCTAAGAAGGGAAGGCAGCCTAGACTAGGATTCTTAGATTACTTGGGGATAAAAGCCAAAGAGATGTCGGGCAGGCAAGGGAAAGGGCTCAGGTGAGCAGCCATGACGGGGTTGCTACAGCAGACACCAGTATCCGCAGACATCTGCCTCAAAAGTTCTCATCTTTCAGACAAAGTCCTTTGGGAGACACTGAGTGTTATCGTTTGAGAAAACTTAAGATGCCACCCAGCTCTGTCTCTGACTCGGTCGTTTTTAGCTTCCTCACTCTCCCCCTGCCGCACACCAACACTGCAGGACTCTGTCATCAGTAAGAAGATCAGCAACACAGGAGGCAGTAGTGACACATGGGAGCCTGCTCACCGCGGCACAGTGGTGGACAGCTCACGGCCCCTGGAGAGACATGAGCTCCTTCCAAGCAAATGAGTCAGGAAATATGAAGAGCACAAAGTGCCGAGAGGGCCTGGCTCCCTCTGAGAACAAACGCCAGTAGGAAGTGAGCGCTGGGCACACCTCCCTGGATTGAATGTCTTACCCAAATCAAACCTCATTCTCTATCTTCATGTTCTGCCTCCTAACTCAGGTCCTTCCCTTCCTGGAGGTCACAGAGACGTACTCCTCGTCCTCTTCTCTGGTTATATCCACTCGCCCTGCACCAGTGCTTGCCTTTGTTGGCGCAGCTCAGCCAGGGGCGGCCTCTCAGTCCTCTGGACCAGTAGGGAATGAATCAGACTTGGAGAAGTGAGAGCTTCCGACGTCCTGGGTTCCTCAGCTTTAGCCAAGGGGCCACCTTTCCAAACACCTGGGGTGTGTACTGTGTGACCATCTAGTTTTCCACTCAGCATTCAAGTTGCACTTGAGTAGGGAATTAACATCCTGTAACTAATGGATGAGAGGAAGATATTGGCTTTAACATTAGTTAGCTGGCTTGTGTGCAATGGATGTGATGATCTGAGTTTAAAAAGATCAAGGGACAGGAAACAACCCTTTTGACACTTGGTGAGGGCCCTTAGTGGTAAAGAGAAAATTACATAACCATCTCTTCCCAGCTACGCTTCGTTTCAAAAGCAAAGCCCACGGCAACTCCTGACAGTGTCGGTTTTTATTTATTAGATGTTTTTTTACTCTGTAAAGAAGTGTGTTGCTGAATTTTTTCTTGTTAGTATCTTTGATCCCTACCCTTAACAAGGGGAAATGAGGTGGTTGAGGTCACAAGGATTCAGTTTAATGACACAGAGTATTGATTTTAATCATGATTTTAACTTTAGCCACTAGGCCACGCCACCAGGCCCAATACTGTGTGTCTTTCAATAAATAATGCAATTAAATCAGCAAGGAAACCTGATACCCCAGGCACTGCCATCTCCTTTTATTTCTTCTTCTTCTTCTTTTTCATCTCCCTTTATTTCATAAGCACACAAACTAAACTCCTGGTCCTAGGCAGTGCTTTTCAACACACTATTGGTTCCCTGTGCTTCAAGCCCGAAGCTGACAGATTTCTGTTCGAACCCTGAGGCTGGGAGCAGCTGAGTTGCTCAAAGCCCTGAGCACACAAGATTGGTTTAGAAACCAATGGAGCTTGCAGTCTATTTTGGTCTCATTCCCTTAATCCGTTCCCTTAAACCTGTGTACACGGGACTGTTACCTTGGGGGCAGACTCTGGAGCGAAACCAGGCTTGCTGGTGTGCCTGGGTGCTTGGTAGGGAGCTGGCAGGAACTGCCCGGTCCCAGTCAACCCAGCACATGGAGCCCCTCACCGGGACCATGGGGAAAAGAGGGAGGGAAAAGGAGGCAGATGTTGTACGGGTAGAGAGTACAAGCGAGCTGCACGCTCCCAGTCTTTTATGCATTCTTTATAAAGACTCAGTCAAGGCAGCAAATGTTACAAGCTTTGTATTATCATGTTTTCCAAACAGAGAGGAGGACAAAAATAGAGTAGAAACTCTCCTTTAGGTTTTAGCAACTAGCCACATCTTGGGGACATGCTTCTCCTCTTTCACCTTCTTTGCTAGAGTATCTTATTTTATTTATTTTAAAAGATTTATTTATTTTCCCTGAAAGATTTACAGAGAGAAGGAGAGACACACAGAGAGGTCTTCCATCTGCTGGTTCACTCCCTAAACAGCCACAACGCTGGGAGCTGAGCCTATCCAAAGCCAGGAGCCTCTTCCAGGTCTCCCACATGGGTAGAGGGTCCCGAGGCTTTGGTCCATCCTCTACTGCTTCCCAGACTACAAGCAGAGAGCTGGATCGGAAGTAAAGCAGCCGGGACACAAACCAGTGCCCATAGTGGATGCCGGCACTTGAAGGGGGAGGATAAGCCAGTTAAGCCAACGTACTGGCCTCTGCTAAATTATCTTAAAGTAAGTCCTAGCCAGCTCACACTCTTCATTACAAGACTTTACCTGTGCCATCACCACACCGAATAAAGGGAACACTAATTCATTAGCATCACCTGATGCCCAGTCCACGCTGACGTCTCACAGATGTGCACAGGGTGGGCCCCTCACAAGGTGTGCCCGTCGAGGGAGTCTCTGTCTCTGCTGTCTCATTAACAATCCCCTCTGCCACTGTTGGTCCAAAAAACACCTTGCAGACTTCAGTCCAATTATTTTTTTTCTAGAAATAATTGAGGATGGGGAAAAACATGTAGGAGAGTCCCATCCAATGCCAGGGCAATTCTGCAAAGCTGCGTGGGGAGAGCAAGACTGGGAGAAGCTGTGTGGAAAGCACTGGGGACCAAGCCATGTGGCAGATGCTTTAAAAATAGCTGCATTTTGTGTTGTTTTTCCCCCTCTAGAAGACATCCCCCAAATCATGAGGAATGTGACTAATCCTCCACAAGGATGCTCATCCTGCCTTCACTTTTAATCAAGAAAATCCTTAGCAACCTAAATGTCAGATAATAGGGAAATGACTAAATAAAGTGGTCATAAAAATTATATATCCAAAGACTTCTCAACCACAGAACAAAACGTTAAGTGGTAAAAAGGCAGAGCTGGAGAGTGGTCTGCAGGATGCTCAAGCCTGGCATGCTCGTTAAATATTTGTTGGATGAAGGAATAAACTTTATTTTATATATATATGTACATGCTGTAGTTGATGCTTTTGGCAGCCAGTGAAAGGAAACCATAAATAGAAGCGGCTTGAACATGAAGAGGATATTTTATCCCAGGGAACAGGAAGTTTAGAGAACAGGCAGCTTTAGTGATGGTTAATTTGGTGGCTTTGAACCTGATATAAACCAAGAGCCACTCACCTCTGGTTTGGCTGTGCCAACTTGTTAGCTAACTCCCCACATGCCCACAGCAGGCTCCCAGTGACTGGGGCCAGAAAATGTCGATTTTGTACTTTGTGGAGGAGAGAGCAAGAAACTGCTAACTATTAGTACACTTTCCAAATGCCAATGTTGGGGTGAGAAGTCTGGAACTCTATCCACGTCCCCCATGTGGTGGCAGCAACCCGGTTAGTTGAGTCACTGTGGCTGCCCCCTGGGGTTTGCTGCAGCAGGGAGCTGGAATTGGGAACTGGAACCAGGACTCAAATTCAGACACCCCAATATTGGACGTGGACATCTATTTTTAAAAATATTTAAGTTGAAAGAGTTATATATATATAGAGAGAGAGAGGGAGAGACAGAGAGAAGTCTTTGATCCTCTGGTTCACTCCCCAAATGGCTGCAATAGCTGGAGCTGAGCTAATCCAAAGCCAGGAGCCAGGATCTTCTTTCAGTGCTCCTCTGTGGGTGAGGGGTCTAAAGGACTTGGGCCATCCTTCACTGTTCTCCCAAACCATAAGCAAAGAGCTGGATTGGGTAATGGAGCAGACAGGACTTGAGCTGATGTCCATATGGGATGCTGGCACTGCAAGTGGAGGAGTAGCTTGCTGCGGCAACATGCCAGCTCTGCACATGAACATGTTAACTGCTACAGATTTTTTCCTTATCATTGATCCTGGGTAACTTCTCAGCCTCGACACTGGGTAGTATGGCAGGTGCATTTACGGTGTCATGGGCACAAGGAGCACAAATGGCCAGACTTTCGTCTTGTCCAGCAAGTTCCTCTGAGAATTATCTGCAACAATTTTGACTCCAGGCAATATACTCTATGGTGTCAACTCTAGTGGCAGCATTTACAGTGATTAGCAGTCACTGCATGAGAATGATTTCCAAATAGATCCTCCATTGACATAGCTTCTAGGTCCTAACCAGAAGGTACCTTATTTTTTTTTTTAAAGATTTATTTATTTTAGACAGAGAGGAAGATCTTCCGTCCGATGATTCACTCCTCAAGTGAGCGCACGGTCGATGCTATGCCGGTCCGAAGCCAGGAGCCTCCTCCAGGTCTCCCACACGGGCGCAGGGTCCCAAAGCTTTGGGCCGTAACCACTGTGCCACCGCGCTGGGCCCCAGAAGGTACCTTATACCAACACACATTTGTCTGTTTCTAGTGAATTTTCTCTTCTCTT